GAATGCCCTTCCACCTGCCTGCTCCAGTCACAGCCCCGTCTCCAGTCCGTAAGAACCATTTGTACTTTCTTGTTACCTAGAACTATGTAGCTCTGACTGGCCTTGAACTTACAGTGCTCCGTTTACTTCACCCTCCAAGTGCTGGTGTTACAGCCATGTGCCACCATCCTTGGCTGGTTTATTAAGCTTTTTTACATACTTTTATCACCCAGTATCACCATACTCTGGTGTGGATGTGTTGTCTTCCCAAGGTTCATGTGTTGGAAACTGGGGCACCAGTCTGTTGATGCTGAGGTTGTGAAAATTCAATGAGATAGGGTTTGGGGGCTGTTAGATCACAGGATACCACCCAAGAAATCCATGTCCGATGAGAAAGGGTTACTATGGGTGAGGTCTCCTCTGCCCTGGTCCCTCTGCACACAGCCAGTTCCCTCTCTGTTTCCATGTGATGCTGTGAAGCCAGCAGACTGTGGGGCTTAACTGCCTTTACTGTTACATTGATGAGCTGTTTTAGTCCCATCATTTCTTTTGCTTGTATTATTTGGAATGTATTTTGATACTCCTTTCAACTGTTTGGTTCCACAGTGGGACAGTGCTTTTGGCAAAGGCCGGGAACTCACATACTGAGCTCACCCCAGTCTTGGATGAGTTATTCCTTTAGACCTTTCCAGTTGTTAGAGAGAAGAAACAATTTTCCTTCATTCACACTGACCTTCTAATGCAGGTTCCATGTTGGAATAACATCTTCTCCACCCTTTCCTGTTGTCCATGTGCTTTTTCTTTCTTTTAATACTGATAGTCCTTACGCTCAAGGACCCAGGGGACGAAAGAATGAATACACTCTGTGTGATGGTAGGTCTGGATTGCCGACTTGGTGGGAGGGAGAATCACTTCGGAGAGACACCTCTGGGGTGTCTCTGAGGGTGTTTCCAGGGAGGATTAGCTGAGGGGAGAAGACCTGCCCTCCAAATGGGCAACACTTTCCAGTGTGCAGTCCAGAGATAGGGGGTCCAAAGAGAGCAATGCTGCCCACCCACCTTTGCATCTCCCTGACCATGTGTCCATTGCTGTTGTTGCCGCTGCTGTGATCCTCTGCTGCCATCGGACTCTAGTTCCTTCAGGCTTCCAACATGGACTGAATACCAGCGACTCTCTAGGAGTCTTCCAGGCCTTAAGCACTGGATGGGACAGCTGAGGCGTGCAGCTTCGTGGACTGAGCAGCTCGCTGCCCGCCCACCTTTGCATCTCCCTGGCCATGTGTCCATTGCTGTTGTTGCAGCTGCTGTGATCCTCTGCTGCCATCGGACTCTAGTTCCTTCAGGCTTCCAACATGGACTGAATACCAGCGACTCTCTAGGAGTCTTCCAGGCCTTAAGCACTGGATGGGACAGCTGAGGCGTGCAGCTTCGTGGACTGAGCAGCTATCAGGGTTCAGGCTCTCCAGCATACTGTTGTTGGACTGTCCGGCTCCTATAATGTCAACCATTCTAGTAAATCCCACTTCATAGCATTCACTCTGTCTGTCCCTCCAGACAACCCTGCCTAATATGCTCTATAATTTTACATATGGAACACAAGGCAGTCTCAGAATACTACAGTGAGCACACTGAAGACTGTTTTGAGCACATTTTCCTCACCCCGTCCCTTCTGTGCATCTCAAGGAAGACTTGTCTGGGCTTGTGGTGGAAGACTATACTCCACGGCTACCCCCCGTGCCTGCCCCTCTCTCTCTGCCCTCACTTTGTCCTTAGGTAACGTTATGGTTTGAATATGAAAGATCCCCCATAGACTCATGTGCTTGAACATTCAGTCCCCGGCTGATAGCACAGTTTTGGAAGGCTGTGGAAACTTTAGGGTATGGGGTGTAGTTAGAAGTGGGTCACTAGGGGCAGGTCTTGCAGATTACACCTGCTTCTTGTTGCTGGCTGTCATCTCTGCTGCCTTGTGAGGAGTCTGCCACATGCTTCCCCTGTCACAAACTCTGAATATCTGCCTCACTGTGAGGGATTGTGAGCCTTTGAAACCATGAGCCAAAATGAACGTTTTTTCCTTCAGTTGTTTCTGTTTGTCACAGCATTAAGAAAAGTAATGAAAACAGGTAAAGGTAAATTTCATGCCGACTGCCAATCCTTGGGTTGATGCCTCTGATCAGTTTGGAGTCTGAAGTTCGTCCTCTGTTGCATCCCTCGGGAAGAGCTTATTGACAGCGCTAATCTTGTAGGGTCACAGTAATTTATCTGCATTTTTGAAAGGCAGTTTTGCTGGGTATAAAACCCATGGATTATCACCTGTTTCCAGGTATTCAAGTGAGCTTTTCTCTGTTACTTGCCACTCCCCCAAACAAATCTTGTAGGACTCTGGGGATGTTCCCACAGATGTGTAATTTCAGGAATACTGTCATTAAATAATTTTACATGCTCATAAATAGCAAAAACATATTGGCTTACCATTCTTCTCCTGGAGAATAAGTGTGTGCTCCATCTCATCCTAGCAGGAGGCATTGCAGGCAAAACCCTGTAGGGATTAGTGAACTGTCCTTCTATTCTAAATCCCATGATCCTATTTATTTGTTTATTTATCTTTTGAGACAAGGTCTCCCTGCAGACCCAGCTGTCCTGGAACTCACTATGTATACCAGGCTGGCCTTGATCTCACAGAGATCCAGTTGCCTCTGCCTCCTGAGTGCTGGGATTAAAGGTGCCACTGTGCCAGCTTTTATTTTTCTATTTATGTGCATGAGTATTAAGCCTGAATGTATGCAAATGCACCATGTTGTGCAATGTCCATGGAGGCCAGAAGAGAGCATTGGAGCCCCTGAAACTGGAGTTATGGACAGTTGTTAGCTGTCATGTGAGTGCTGGGACTTGAACCCTGGTCCTCTGCAAGAGCAGCCAGTTCTCTTAACCTCTGAACCATCTCTCCAGCCCCACCCATGTTCCTTTTTTCAAGATACTCAAAGCTTCTGTTTTTCTTTGTTTTCAACTTGGCAGTTTCACTGGACAGCGCCTTGCTGATGGTCATTCAGAGGCAGCAATCTCTGAGCAGCAATGAGCTCTCTCAATAAACAGTTTCACATCTCTTTTGTTTATTCCAGGGAGTTTTCCTTGAGTTATGTTTTTAATATTTGTTTTCTTCCTTGGCTTTGATGGTCTTCTTCAGGGAACCCTGTTCTGCATGCTTAATCTTCTCTGTCCATCTTCAAATCTTGTTTCCCTTCTCAACTCTTTAAAAACTATTTTTCATTCTTTTCACCTTAAACATATTTTCTTTTATGAATCTTCAGTTTCTTTTCAGAAAGTCCTTTTTGTTATTTACCCTTGAACACCTGATTAGGTCCTCAGTTGTGAGAGAAACTTTTCTGAGTCCTAATCCTTCTTTTTTGCTTTATTTTATATGTAAGCCTGTATTGTGTGCATGTATGCAAGTGCACCTGTGTCGTGCAATGCCTGCAGAGGACAGAAGAGGACATTGGATCCTGGTTATTAGCCACCATGTGGGTGCTGGTATTCTAACCCAGGTCTTCTGCAAGAGCAGCCAGTGCTCTTAACCGCTGAGCCATCTCTCCACTCTCTGACTCCTAATTCTTGCATGAGTTCTGCTATCTCATTCTGAGCTTTTCTAAAGGCTGGTCAGCCCACATACTGTATCATTTTAGTCAATTTTGAGATGCCTTGCTAATTTTGGTGTGTCCTGTGGTCATTCCTTGCTGCCCTTCAGGAATTAACTACAAGCGTGTTTATATTGCCCTTCTTCTTTTTGTCTTAGGCATGGCCCTTTTGTGTGGAATATGGTGTTCTAGTTTGCTTTCAATTGCTGCAACAAAACACTCTGACCAATACCAACTTGGAGAGGAAGGGGTTTATTTGGCTTACATCTCTCAGGTCACAGTTCATCACTAAGGAACTGCCCAAGGTAGGAACTCAGGGCAGGAAACTGGAGGCAGGAGCTGGAGCACGGGTCATGGAGGAACACTGCTTACAGGTTTGCTCCTCTGGCCCATGCTCAGCCTATTTTCTTATACAACCCAGGCCCACCTGCCCAGGGATGGCACCACACACAGTGGGCTGAGCCCTCCCACATCACTCAGCAATCAAGAAAATGCCCCACAGACATGGCCACAGGCCAGTCCAATGGAGACAATTCCTCAGTTGAGGCTCCCTCTACCCATGTGTGCCAAGCTGACACTAAAGGTATCCAGCACAGATATCAACATTTGTTTTTTATTCATGTTTGAGTGAAATTTATTAAGTAAATTCATTTTTCCTGGACTTTGCAATTAGACCATGATCAGAAAAACTTTCCACTCTCTGAGTTTTCTCTTTTTTGTTTTGTTTTGTTTTTGAGATGAGGGGTTTGCCTATGTAGTCCAGGCTCAAACTCCTGATCCGCCTGCCTCCCCTTTTGGGGTGCTGGACCATCACACTAGGTCATTTTGTGTGTTGTTATAAAACATAGTGGCTCACGTACTGAGCCTCCCAGATGCACTCCCATCCCACTCCTGGTCTCGATCTTTTGTCCTTGTTTATGCTATCCTCATGCCTATCAATTTTGATTATATCTGTAATGCTTCTCTGTGAAGCCCCCGTTCAGGAAGAGACCTTGGGAAGGGAAGGTTTGAGAGATTCCGAGACTTGGGACACTTTAGCTCCGTAACCCTCTTTCCACTGGCCTCTCTTTGTAAGTCATCTGCTTTTTAAAAAAAATGTATTATTATTTTTAATTTTAAGTATATGAGTGTATTGCTTGCATTTAGGTAGGTGCACTCATGTACAATGCCCACAGAGATCAGAAGAGGGCGTCGGATCCCCTAGAACTGGAGTTGCAAACAGTTGTTAGCTGCCATGTGGGTGCTGGGAATTGAACCTGGGTCCTCTGCAAGAGCAGACAATGCTCTTAACCACTAAGCCATCTCTCCAGTCCCAGGTTTGTTTGTTTTTTTTTAAAGCACCCTTTCAGTGAGGATACACTCTACCCACAATCTACCCAGGCTGACTTAGCATACATGTAGGCAACCAAAGAGAGGGAAAGGAGATATGCAGCCCTTGCTCCCCAAAGACCTCAGACATGCCAAGATCTCTTCCAAGTTGCTACGTTCTTGACAAGGACACTAGTTGGCCCCTTGGAGAGGGAATCACCTTGGATATCATCTGCTGTTCAAGGAAGCAAAATGTTTTAGGTTGCACATGGTACTTTCAGAATTTCCCAAGACTTGGGGCTGGGAGATGGCTTATTCGGATCTCCAGAACTCATGTGAAAAGCTGGGTGCATGTGTCTGTCATTTCAGTGCTGGGGAGGCGGGACAGGCGAATGACTGGGGCCAGCTGATCAGCCAGCAGAGCCCAATTGATGAGCTCTAGGTTCAGTAAGAGACCTTGTCTCAAAACATAAGGTGGCGAGTGATTGAAGAAGACATTCAGTATTAACTTCTGACCTACACACATACATATACGAACACATAAACACACAAATGCACACACCAACGAGAGAGAGAGAGAGAGAGAGAGAGAGAGAGAGAGAGAGAGAGAGAGAGAGAGAGCCCTGTGAGAGCTTTACTTTGTGCTGGTTTCCTGAAATGGCTCAGTCATTCCGTAATTGCACTGCAGTTAAAGGCAACAGATGTCAGAAATTTCATCACTATCATCTGCCATTACAGGGGGTAGAGGAGCAAAGAATGTATCTTAACTGCTCAAGCACAAGCCAACAGTGGTTGGCAACTGTGCTTTTCCTAAGAATTAATGGTTTATAATATGGTTGAGTGGATAGTCTAGATAAATAGCAGGTTGACTGTCTCTGTAATTACATTATGAGCTGAAAGGAGTGATAAGTGTTTGTTTTAGCATCACATTTTAATTTGGAAAAAATTGACTTGATTGTGATTTAAGTCTAATTAATCATTTTTAAAGTTTTCATTAATATTAATAATAAATATTTAATTCTAAGATATTAAATGAGCAAAAGGGAAAAATTTGAATCTTGGGCAGGTCTGTTAATCTCACTATTAAAATAGAAGTGAACTGAAAGATGATTTTGAATCTCACTCTACATTTTTTAAGGACTGATTTATGTTTAAAATTAATCTTTAAAATGAACCGAAAAGTCACACTTTGTGACAGGTGGGGAAAATCAGATTATGAATCACATATGTTCCACAGTTCATACAAACTGGGGAATGCAGTACGGCCTTTTTATGAACTGTTACTTTATTCTTGTTTTTGTTTTTGTTTTAGACAGGGTCTCACCATGTAGCCCTGGCTGGCCTGGACTTTGCTGTGTAGACCAGGCTGGCCTCATTTATTCCTGAGGTTGAATTCCTTGGCAGAAGGAAGTGATATCTTCAGTCAGGGCCCTAACCAGGGGTCATTGGGAGTTTACCTCTTTGGGACAAGAAAGAACCATGGCACGATTAGCCACATTAGAGCAACTGGGCCAATTGTAAAAGGATTCCCATCCCATATGAATTTCTGTGCAGACTGTTCAATGTCCCACAGCACCCCGTTTGGTGTTTAAAGCAAGCCTGGGTGCCCATGGGTACAATTTGGAAGTGCAGTGGACAGTAAATACCAACTTGAACCAATGCACAGTAGTCAGAAACAATGTCTGGCGTCCCTGGAGACTTATCCAAGAGGTGAAGTCTGGCCGGGAGCTCGGCAGGTGACCCCCATCAGCAAGGGAGATCATGGGTGAGACAGAGTACTCAGAGAGGTCAGAACAAGGTAGGAAGGAAGGAGGGGGGACGAAGGAAACAGGTGAGAGCCAAGCCCAGTCCCTGCTGTGTCAGTGCCCTGTACTGGGACAGAGGCATTGCTGCAGGGGACAGCTGCCCAGGAATATCTGTCTGGAGGATGAGGGGTCTGGGCAACCAGGAAGGACAGGAGATGCTGCAGCAGATAGGAGACCAGACACAGGTGGGCTCAGGTCCCTGCACACAGGACTCTGGTTGTTATATAATAACAGCTTCACTGCACAGGAGCAGCCAATCCTACAGCAAGGTTTTATACCTTGAGGCATGTAGTGACTACACCATCACCACCAGCACACTTAAGTCACAGAATCCTCAGCTACAACACACTGATAGGGAGAAGGTGACCACGGGTATTTAGAGTGACGTGATTAATCTCATCGGGCTTTGGGCTTGGGACATAGCTCAGTGGTAGAACTTGCCTAGCATGTGCAAAATGCTACATTCAGTCCTCAGAACTCTAGGATCAACATTGCCACCACCAGCAGCCCCACGACCACCATCATTTTCCTGGTTTTGTTTCTATTGCTGTGATGGTATACCCTGACCAAAAGCAACTGAGAGGAGACAGGCTTTATTTGGCTTACAACTCCAGGTTACAGTCCATCCTCATAGGCCCTTTGGACATCAGAGTGGAAAAAGGGGTGATGATTTTGTCAGGTTCCTTCCCTAAGGTTTGCAAGGAACGATTCCTTCTTTGACATATCATGTTAGCCAAAACATCCATTTTGGTTAATAAGCGAGGGGCATTGCCAATAGGGGTGTGAAGCCATTCGAGGACCCCTTGAGGTTGATGGAGAGCCCCAACGAGGGTTGGGGAGGAATTGAAAATCAGGAGGTGGACTGTGGAGGAGGGCTTATAGCTGTGCAGGGTCGGTCATCTCTTGAAGGGATTTGTTGATGGCTGCTAATGCCCTGTTGGCTTCCAATGTGAGTGAGTGTTCGGATGAAGGATGTTTGTCCCCTTTTAGGAGGTTGAAGAGGGGTCAAAGGGTGTCTGTAGAGAGTGGGAGCCAAGGCCTGAGCCAGTTGAGGGTCCCTAGGTAACTCTGTAAGGAAGCCAGGGAAGGTTGGGAAGGGAAGGAAAGGACAGGTTTCAGTGGCCGGATGGTTATTAGGGAAATTTCAGTGCCTAGAAATTTTATGAGCATGAGTGGGATGAGCTGAATCTTTGTAAGAGTGATTTTAAAGCCAGAGGCCTCAAGGGAGGATATTAATTGATCCCTGAGGTCTGGTAAGGGTAGTGGGTGTTCATACCAGGCAAGGATGCCACCCATGTAGTGGTAAACATGGAGTCCCTTTTTAATATGGGGCTTTTGGCAAAAAAAAGCAACTGCTTCTTGGCAAATGGTGGGACTGTTAGCCATACCTTGGGGGAGAACAGTCCATTCATATCTTTTTGCAGGTCCAGAATTATTGATTGTGGGGACAGAGAAGGCAAATCTTTTATAATCTCTTGGGCGTAATGGAATGGAGAAGAAACAATTCTTGATATCGATGGATAACAAGGGGATATTTGCAGGAATGGCTGAGACCAGGGGGAGTCTACACTGAGGGGAGCCCCAAATCTGCATGGTTTTATTGATGGCCCTTAGGTCTTGTAATAAGCGCCATCCTCCTGAGCTTTTTCTTATGGTGAAGATAGGGCTTGTCCATGGGCTGCGGGAAGGCTGGATATGTCCTAATTGTAATTGTTCTTTAACAAGTTTTTTTTAATGATTAGTAATCTCTCCCTAGATAGTGGCCACTGTTCAACCCAGACTGGATCATCAGAGTTCCATTCTAGACAGAGAGTTTGATAATTAACAATGGCTATTAGAATTGGGGGTGATCAGTGAATGGGCAAAAGGGGCGTGAGTCAGATGGGTCGCTGGGGTCCATTGAAGGACCCTCATCCCTGCTGGTGATAATTACATCGAGAGCTCTGAGGAGATCTCTTCCTAGTAGGTTAGTAGCTACGTCAGCAACCAAAGGGTGGATGTGGCCTTTGTTTCCATCAGGGTCCTCCCATGTGAGAGTTTCTTTAGTGATGAAGGCCTGGGAGGCGCCCCCCATCCCCACTAACTTGGGGCCTGGTAGTAAGGACCATGTTGAAGGGGCTTCCTGTCTCCTAATGATAGTCTTATCGGCCCCTATATTGATGAGGCATTTAAAGGGCTTTCCCTTTAATTTGATAACTATTTGGGTGTGCGTTGTTTTTAGTATGGTGGAGGTCCATAAGGTTCTGACCTTAGGAGGCGGCCTTCTTACTGGTGGCGGGGCTGAGGGCTGATCCAAGTGAAGTTTAAAGGTGGGAGTGGTTTTCCTTCTTTATATTTGGAATGGCAATCACATTTCCAATGGAACCCTTTTCTACAGCGAGGGCAGACTGTCTTAGGGGCTTCATTTGTTTTAGTTTGGGTGTTATCTCAAGGGCATTCATTCTTCCAATGTCCCCTATCGCCACATTTAAAGCATTTACCTTCTTGTTTTAAGGCTGCTGAGAAAGCCTGAGCTATGGATGTGGTCTTATGAGTGGCCGTGCCAAATCTTGGGTGGCCACGATCCATTTATCATAATGTTCCTCCTTTAAGCCTTGATAGGCGTGTTTACGTTCAGAGGTCATCCCATCCCAAATGATACTGCGGAGTAGGATGTCTCTTGTCGTAGGGCCAGAAATTTTTCTATCTATGCTAGTTTTGGACCTGAGTATAAAGTCAGCAAGGGATTCTTCAGGTTTTTGCTGGAGGAACATGAGGGATGATTCAGAGGTAGGGCCAGAAGGAGGAGTAATGCCTTCCCAGGCTTGCAAGGGCAAAGGTGCACCTGATCATAATACCCAGGCGGGAATCCCACTCTCCCTGACCAAAGGGTGTCAAAGTTCCAATTGATATCAGCTTGGTCAGTGTTTTTGTGGTGTTGTTGGATACACTCGTCAGGGAACAGGGCCTCCCATTGCAAGAAGAGGGGGCCAGGCAGAGACACCCTGTAGATGTCTTGACAGTTTTGGGCCGTATTTAAGGTGGCATTGAAGCCAAGGAGGATGCTTTTTGTCTAGGGGGCATGAACACCATCCTCGTGTACAGCTTGTCGGAGTCCCTTAAGGTCTCCTGCTGAGTATGGGTACCATTGTACAGGTCTGCAAAAGGTGGGGACCAGGTTAACTGGTAAGGCCTGCTATTCTAGGTTTTGTGTGTCCCTGATATTACAGAGCTGTTGGGTAGCCTAAGGGGCAGGTTTTGGTGGGGCCATGGGAGTAGGCTGGGGTTTCTCCCTTGGGGGAGGTTTGGGGTCTTGGTCCCCAGCTTCTTCGTGTGGGTAGGGAGGCAAAGGCAGAGGGGGGTAGAGGTGTGAGGGTTCCATTTTAAAGTTAGCTAACTCTTTTCAAATACTTTCTATGCCTGCTCCAGGGATGCCATGTCGG